GTCCCACAAGAGTGTCCTACAAGAGTGTCCCACGAGAGTGTCCCACATGAGTGTCCTACAACAGTCCCAAGAATTTTCCACAAGAGTGTCCCACAAGAGAGTCCTACAAGAGTGTTCCGCAAGAGTGCCCGACGAGAGTGTCCTACGAGAGTGTCTCACAAGAGCGATGCACAAGAGTGCCCCACGAGAGTGTCCTACAAGAGTGTTTCGCAAGAGTGTCCTACAACAGTGTTCCGCAAGAGTGCCCCGCAAGGGTGAGTGTGAGTCATACCAGAGTGTCACACAAGAGTGACAAACAAGAGTGTCCCACAAGAGTGTCGCGGAAGAGTTTCCACGAGAGTGTCCTACAAGAGTGTCACAAGATAAGATTGTCCCACAAGAGAGTCCTACAAAAGTGTTCCAAGTGTTCCGCAAGAGTGCCCCACAAGAGTGTCCGACAAGAGTGTCCTACGAGAGTGTCCCACAAGAGTGACATACAAGAGTGTCCCACAAGAGGCTCCTACAAGACTGTTTCGCAAGAGTGTCCCACAAGAGTGACAAACAAGAGTGTCCCACAAGAGCCTCCCGCAACAGTCTCCCACAAGAATGTCGTGCCATACAAGAGTGCCCCACAAGAGTGTCCTACATAGTGGTAGAGGGAGTCGTACTAGTGGTTGGTAGCAGTCTTCCCCCAAGGGCCCAAGGGTGTCCCACAAGAGACTAATGCACCTGAGTGTCCCACAAGAGTTTCCGCAATCGTGTCCCGCCAGAGTGTTCCATTACAAGAGTGCTGCACGAGACTGCTTGGAACAATTTTCGCAAGAGTGTCTGCCAAGAGTGTTCTAGCAGAGTTGTCCCACAACAGTGTCTTACAAGTGTCCTACAAGAGTGCCGCGCAAGAGATTTGCAAGAGTTACACACAAGAGTCCCACAACAAGAGCGTCTCGCAAGAGTCTCCCACAAGGGTGTTCTACCAGAGTGTCGCGCAAGAGTGTTCCACAAGAGTGTGTCCCGCAAGAGTGTGTCCCACGAGAGTGTGTCCCACGAGAGTGTCCCACAAGTGTCTTACAAGAGTGTGCTGCAAGAGTGTCCCACACGAATATCCGACAAGAGTGTCTTACAAAAATGTGAAACAAGAGTGTCGTGCAAGAGTTTTGTGCAAGCGTGCGCTGCAAGAGTGTTACACAAGAGTGTCTCACCAGAGAATAGTAATCCGATCGGTTTTCATTTGCTGTCCCATGTCATGTCTGATGACAATCCGCTCCTTTCACTGATATCTCACATTCGGGTTCGTGGGTTCCATACTTGTTTTAGAGGCAAAGTGTCGGACCTCCGGTCCGTGTTCCATGTTCAGAAATCTTAATTGGTTCATGGACAGAGTACGGAGCATATCTGAAGTTCCGTAAGCGCCTTGCTCAATACTCAGTGCCCGACGTATTTCACCCAGTGGAAACTCGTGCAGGAAACACCTGCTGGCCCTCCCCCCTGGCCGATCGGTCTCCCGAACTTGCGACATGGTGTGACCCTTCAAGATCCGTCGACACACTTCCTTTTTTGGGGGGGCACACAGTTCTTGAGCAGCAACATATGAGATTAGTGATGATTATTGCGTGTGTTTGTCCTTGTTTGAAAGTTTTAAACATGTCATGTCAGACCGTATAGAGAAGCTACTGGGGGTTCTTGGCCTTACTACTAGGAGCAAAGAGGCTACTAGGCGTGTGTCTGTCCCTGTTCTTGAACAGACTCGTCAACAAGACGACCGTAATACGACGTCCAGGCCGACGGCTTTATGGCGAGGCCATGCAGCTGGCACGTGAGGCCTCGCCCTTTCAGCAGTGCCTCGGTTCCGAAGGTCTTTTCCCCAAACACTGTGTCAACACCTGAGGGGTTCTTGCTGGTGAGTGTTTTTTAAGCTCCGGGTTCTCCAGGGCTTTCTGGGAGAACGGACCCCTGTCGGACTGATGGGCTGCCCTCCCCGTCCGCTGAATTCGTTGCACCAGGGTGCTGAAAGAGGCCTCGGCCTTGGGGAACTCCGGCAACAACGGTGGCTTACACCCTGGAAGACTAACATGGACCCTGAAAACCACTGGTTGGTAGAGGAAAACATTCTTCCAGGGGGCCATTCTCAGGGTCTATGTTAGTTTTCGGGAGTGTAAGTAAAAAACATGTTTGGAGAACGAGGATGAGATGTCAGTGGATACCATGAAGCGCATCTCTTTGTGGTCCAGGTTGGTCAATAGCTGTCGATACTGAAAGCTGTTTGACCGACAGCTGTTTTGTGCGACGCAAGATTCGGGTCCGTGTTCAAACACAGGCACACAGGGTCGCTCTGAAAGGTGTTTTTGCTTCTTGGACTTGTGGATCATTGACACTAAATGGTGGGTCAGATCAGTAGGGGTTAGATCAGTAGGGGTTTGACCACTAGAAAAACAGAAAAACAATGTTTTTTTCATGTTATTTCATTTCAAACCATTTTAAAACAGAATATCTCAATGATAATGTACATGGATGTGGTTAACTCATTTAGATACAGGTGGATTTACGGTGAACTTGCGGTGGGTCACGAAGGATCTAGTCTTAACAGGACGAGGGCACATCGTACACAACGTCGTGTCAGTCATGTCTAACAGCTGACCACAACAGAGCAAAAACGATGACAGCATCCGCTGGATCTGGGTAAGTCCAGGCACCACCTCAGCAGTACAAGACTCATCTTGAAGAGTATCAAAGCTAGAGAGTGAAGTGGCTTAAATTCGAGTACTTTCGAGGCTCTTCATTGAAAATGACAAGTGCATTTGCTGCAATTTCCTTTTTCATCCCACACGCGAGTGTGTGAAAAGCACAGCCCTCTTCGCTGAGCGCACACACTGAGGACCCAAACTAAATTAAGGCCTGGCTCAAGCCCATTCTCTCGTACAAATCTCAGCAACAGCTCTGCCAAATTCCTGTGTATATATTTGGCTCTGCTGCAAAAGATCCTTGCGTCCAGTGAACCCAGACCGAGAGCGACACACCAGGCTTTCAGCCTCAGGCATGTCTGGACGGCCTGTTTCCAAACCACCTATGCATGGCCAAGTCGACCACAGTTCTAGTGGTTTCACTGTAGGCCCATTGTAAGCTCCCATGTACACCTTGTACCTCACGGCATTGGTGAAGAACAGCACTCCCTTCAGCGAGGCGCAAAGGCTCATGACGGAAGTTGTAGGCTGCTCTAAGGTCACATGTATTGACAACAGGTAGCACACGAAGTAGACCAGCGCTGAGCACTCCATTAGGGCGTTTCCATCCTTCACAAACTGGTACGGATCTTCTGGTCCAAGGTATCCGTTCTCAGGCAAACGTGCCGACTGATGGCGGCACATCACAGTGAAGCTGCTACATGGGGTGGCAAGCCAGCACAAACCAAACTTGCGAATACAGCAGACTGAGTCCAGGATAAGTCTGACACCTTGGGATGTGTGAAGGTCATGCGAGGTGCTGTGAACATAGTCGAAGCCGCAGCCTTTCCAGCCAGCCGATAGCATCTCAAAGGTCAGCCAACCTTCTCCACAGAAGACTTCAACAAAGTCCAGCGCATGCCCACTGCATTGAGTTGCTTGGTTTCTGAGACCCCTGAAAACAAGCGCGAGCATCATGTGGACCAGAGGTTTGCAAGCAAGCGCCGGGTAGCACATAGCCAAAATTTGTGGCCAGAGACATGCTGCCTGACCGTTGTTGACGCTTGCATCAGCTGCCAAAAAGTCGTTGATCAAAGTCTCATAGTGCGTCACCAAGTCCGCTTCTGCTGGAAGAAAGCACCTGCACAAGGGAGCAGACGCGCAGACAAACTAGCAACATGTTGTACAAGACACAACGCCACCCAACCCCATGAAGGCCCTACCAAAATTCAACATGAAGGTGCTGGAAACTCTGGTAACAGCTGAGTGAAAACAATTATGTCAAACCTCGGCAAGGACGACCAGGGAAGGAAGTCGTGGAGTTGACATTGGTAAGCTTTTCCAAACATCTGTGTTAAGACTGGGTCTTCGCTAGCGCGAAGCTGGCTCTCAGTCTCATTGACGCCAACCCCAGAACCAGGCGCCACCAAGACCACATTGTGAGGGGCCACTGTTGAACTTCGCTCAGAAACTGCAACATTGTGAGGTGCCACTGAACTTCGCTCAGGCTCAGGTCTGGGTAGCTTTTTCTTCTTGGCTGTCTTGGCCAACTTCAACTTTGAAGCTGACTGCGCCATCATCATGGCCATCGCAACCATGGGAAACCATGCTGCTGCCGGCTGAGGACAGGCAGGACTTGCAAGCCACTTGGGCTGGCATCGTTTGCCTTTCATGGCGCTGGGCTGGCCTATACTATTGGTCGCCAAACTTGGTGTTTCCGTGGGTGATGTCAAAACGTTGTGAGCCGGCTGTTTTCTACACCTTACCATGTGTAAGACATGCGACCACTGACAACATCTGACTGGCTGAGGCCACGTGTGACACCCAAAGACACAAAGCCAAGCTGAAATTCGAATTGAGGTTAAAACATATTAAAAACAAGGGACTCATGGCAACAGCTGAGGGGGGGCATTGAGTGAACGCACAATTTTTCTTTTGCTCGAAAATTGCACAGGCATCAGCCATGTCAGCCAGCCTGATCAGCCTTTTCTTGGAAACTTTACTTTGGCTGGAAGCTTATCCACATCCTTAGCCAGCTTTACAAACAGGCTTTCAGGAATCACTCCTGGCGTTTGCACACGGTCAGGCGGGAGCTCGTACCCTGAGCAAGCAACACTTTGCAAAAACATGGACTCCTTCAGTCAATAGACTGACTAAGCACCGAACAAACAGCGACCGGAACAAGAAACACAAGTCCAAGTCAAGAAACCTTTCTTCTGGTTGTAAGACCTGTACTTGCTCCAGGCTGTTTGATGCACAATCTCCAACATTGTCCTCCAGCTTGAAGCCTGCTTGTAGTCAAATGTTCTGCTGAACGACCTGCAATCAGTCAGCCCGGGAGGCCACTTGGCAGTCCATCTGTGGTCATTGCCTGAGCAGCCACACCACCAAGGGCTTTTGATTGAAGGAGGCAAAAGCAAAAAACAAGGTAGGCTCAGGCTCGCAAAAAGTTGCAACTAACCTTCAACTAACCTTTGAAGCAACATGCAATGCAAGTTGCTGTTGAGGAAAATGCTACACCCAGGCGGTGCCAAGTCTTTCAACGTTTCCGGGCTGTGGTAAAGATTCGGCCCACGCGGTTCGTGCAAAACCCTTGGAGGAACCACACTGTCAGGCAAAACTTCAGACGCAGCATCGCCTTGCGACATGCGAACTGAGTCCTCTGCTGGTGCTTGGTGCGAAGATTGACTGTGAGGAGCGTTGGAAACAACTGACACATCTGACGACACTGCTGGCCCGTGTGGAGCTTCCTCAGATCCAACACCATCGGCCACATCTGGTCCCACTCCAGCGCGCGAGGAGCTGGCGCCCGACCCCACCTCTGCCTCCGGCTTGACGAACACTGCATCGACAAATTCATCGAGAGTGGTGCGATCTGCTGTTGCCTCCATGCTTTGAGCTTTGAGCTGTCTCATGGTTTCTCCTGTTGGCTCGAGCTCAGCATCCTCAGGCTGTCTCATGGGCTCTCCTGCTGTTGGCTCCTCCGGTTCATCATGCTGAGCATCAGCCGCAGGCATGCGGCTGCTTCTCCCTTTGCCTCGCCCTCTCCCTCGGCCTCTACCACCACGTCCTTTGGCGCGACCATGAACATTGAACTTTGATTTTGCCTTGGCTCTCATAGCTTTCAGGGCTTTCTTCTTTTCAGTGGCCTCCATGTCTTCTTGCTTCCACTGAGCCCACTTCCTTTTCTTGTTCAGGTTGCGTTTGTTGTTCACCCGCTTTTTCAGCTCTTTGAAATCATCGGCGTCGGCAGCATCCATGTTGTCTAAGAGAAGTTCAGCTAGTGAATCTTCTGAGCAAGAATCATCTGCCGTTGGATCATCGAGTTTTTTCTTCTTCTTAGTCTCTTCATTGGAAAGAACCTGCTTTGCGAAGTCAGCATCACCAAGTAGCAACGCCAAAGCCTCGACAAGATCTCGCCTCGAGAGCTTGTGTGGATCATTGATTCCAAGCAAGCTTCCTGCAACAAAGACCAAATCAGCAAAAGTCATTTCCAAGGAATGGTTCCTGAGCATCGCTTTGGCAGAGTGCTCCCATGTGTCAGCCGAAACAGAGATGCCAGTTTCAGTCAGGATGGGAGAAGGAATGGCCGACTCATGCTGGTCAATGCGAGTGGTGAAATACCATTCAAGGCTCCCTCTGCGCGTAAGCTTCAAAGACCCATCATCGAATAGCGTCATGGGCCAAACCAGCAGGGCCCATTTGAGGTTGGACACCACAATGAAGATCTTGTCATCCACTTCTGCTCCATCCAAAGTCTGCCGTGGCTTGAAGATCATGCCAGGTCTGAGGAGGATGCATGCCCTAGCATCCTGACACCGAGGTAACAGTTGCAAATGAAAAGTTAGAAGAAACTTACCACACACGCAGAACTAAATAGAAACATAGTAAGTAAGTAAGGTTTTGACAAATGTCATTCAGCTGAATGCCACACTGCTTCAGGTTCTTTGAGACAAAAAGCCGTAACCAAGACCATGCAGCTGCTGACCTTGCCAACGATTCTTCGCTCAGTGAGTACCATGTCTTTGGGGACATGACTCGACTCCAACTTTTGTCAACTCTTTCGTGCCGAGCGAAAAAAGCTGTCATTCTTTTGGCGGTCTTCGTGCGCTTCCAGCGCAGCTTGAATGCCTGCTTGTCCAGTGCACACAGATGAGGAATTCCTCTCGCTTCAAAAA